TGATCAAAAGTGTTCGAAAAATAGAAAAAAAGGGTCACCTGAAAGGGAAGAAAAATATATGGATTTTATAAAAATCAGGATATATATTTTTGTCCAGTTTTTTACAGTGTTATTTCTCCTTAGGAATCCTTTTAGATCAAAGTTTATCTATTTTACTGTTAAAATTCCTCAATACTGCTATTGTTTGTTAGTTATCGCTCAAAACACTTCTCTTTTTTTTCTAGTCAATTTGATAGCTTGTTTTTACTGATACCATACGTTTCAAGTGTGACAGAAACATTGTTTACTTTCCTGAACAGTACATGAGCTATTATTTTTGAATACAAATTATTAAGAGATATGCATACATATTGTGTTTTTTATTTTTTATAGTTAACGATTAATGACTAATTAATTGTTATTACCAGACCATTAATTACATTGATTGTCTTTACACCAGCCATCATGCTACTGTGTTGCTTTTTGTTAACACCTCATTGGACCCTTACCCTTTTTCTGATCTTTCATGTTTCACCCTTGATTATTTTCAAGTTGATTAAAACGCGTCAAAACATGCATACAAATAATTTTTCATTTGGTGCCATCCTTGACCTAGAAACACGTAGCCTTTTCGTCCGTCCGTCAATACGACATACATACATATATGTGAGTCTCTTCATTGAGAGTGCTTCTTATCACGTGTCCTGGTGTCCCCACCATGGGGTCACCATGCGAGGGTGACAATGGTAAATATTCCGACTCCAAACTGTCATATACTTAATGCAATATAACTCTCGTTGTGTTAACAACAATAGCCAGTGATACAACCCACGGTAGTGCAATATAAACAATAATAATTAAGGTTTTCAAATGGTTACTCCGGCGAACAGGTCGTTGCGGTTATTAATTTATCGGAAAAACTTCATTAACTGATTATTTATTTATTATTAAATAAGCAATGAGAGCGAGCATAGTGACGATTCCGCCCTTGGCGTTCCGGGGTAACAATCCGTACCACAACGCGTTCCTTACCCTGCTGGACAGTATTTTCGCTTGTTTGGTGGTCGCTCCGGCCGTTGTGGCCTACTGGCGAAGTGCCTGGGAACTCATGGGCATTTACGTTTACCCCAACGACAACATGAAAACGGCCATGGTGTCGACAGCGATCGGTTTTGTGGGCCACGCTGTAGCCAATTTTGGACAATTTTTTTTCCAAAAGGCTTTCCACCCTGACCGTCACCGGATCTTGTTTTACGTCATTTCTAGGACTTATACTTTAATTTACGCGGTTGTTTGTGTGAACGGGTGGCGAGGTCCGTGGTACCTTTTGGACAAGTACACCGAAATGGAGTTTAACACTGTGGTTGTTACCCTTGTGGTTGCTGTGGTTGCCCTTGTGGTCATGAGAGCGTTAAGGAATATCTCTGGAGCACCCTTTGCTATCGTTAATGACACTGTAGACGGTTATTTCGAAATTATATCGATGTTTAGAGTACCGGTAAGTCAGTTAATAAATAGACTTCTAACTGATAATTATTTCATATTAAAATATTCATAATAAACAAAAGAAGAAAACAAAAACAGGTTAAACTACTTTTTACTTGGTAAATTCTTTTTTTAAGATGAATCTTTTATATGTTTGTAGTTAGAAGTGGAATCTCAATACTACTGTTGCTTTTAACAACAAAACGTTTACTTTTAAAATCAAAAATATCCAAACTAGCTGTTGCTTCTAAAATTATGATTACTATCTCTTCTTTTTTAAATATCTATTTTACTGATAAATTACAATAACTTATGTAACTAAAATTTTGAAATAGAATCCAATCTTACTCATTGTGTTAAATAATATTTTCAAACGTCAAACGTTTCCAAAGAAAGTGAAAATTAACCGTGGAGGTCGTCTACGTATACAAACACGACATTAATTAATTAGGGAATGTAATAAGTTTGTAAATAAATTGGAATTCCACAAAAATCGCCTTTTCTATAACTTGCTGTCTAATTTTTAATTGAACAATAATATGCTCTATAATGAACTTATTGAAAAGGTAATTATTTATACATTTTTATCAATCCTAACTAACTATCTGGTAATTAATTAAATAACTGAACTAGTTACTAAATTTTTATCTATTAATGACGACGCGGTAATAAATATTATGTACAAAATAATATAAAAGGGGCTACTAATTAAATTAGATACAAAGCAACATTATTTTGTTTTAAATATTTATATTTTTAAAAGATTACGTATTCTTTTGTATTTTTAATAAATAAACCGATAATAACGCAAAAGAACCTTGCACTTATGAATACCAAAAATGTTATTACGCTCGATAAGAAATAAAAAGGAAATTTTTCAACAGGAAATGCTGTTATAACGCAATTCCTAATTAAATGTGTTACTTAGTACTAATTTAGTGTTTGAACCAATTGATTATGATATGGAAAAGTTGTTGTGTTATCAGACAACAACAATTATATCTGGTTAATAAATATTTAATTTACTCCTTTGTTTAAATGCACAAAAAGAGAATGTTCAGAAAAGAATTACCATGTTTTAAGAAAATATTTGCTGCTTTTTCTTAATTTTCCACAAGTAATCGTTACAAAGTATTTTACGGATATTTACTAAGAACGTTTATTTGTTTTATTATCGTCTATTATAGAAATTTCCACGGTATGTAATTCAAGTTTTTGCAAAAATTAATTCGATTCCTTGATTAGGTCTTATGAGACCTTGCAACATTGAAAATTGTATGAAATTAACTACAAAAACAGAATTGTATCGGTTATTAAACTCAAGGTAACATAATATACGTATACATATTGTTATTTTTATTATATTCATCAATAAAACAACTTTGTTACGTTTTAATGCAAAATTACGTGTAAGTTTTGAAAATTGATACAAAACTCAAACCTTAACATC